TATATATATATAGAGGGTGTGATTTGTAAACGAAGAGAGAAATAAAGTTGGGAAGAAGTTGGGGGTGATGAGGCAGGCAAAGTAGAAGGTGGAGAATGAAAGACGCAGCATATTCACTGCCCTACACCTTTTTTTTTTTACTAATATACCTTTATTTAATTGACAATAAAATTGGTGGTAGAGCTTTCATTTAAAAGGATTCCTATCTAATTCAATTCAAATTTTAGTATAGGTTGTCTTTAAAATCATCTGGCCTCGATGTGAAATAGGTAAAAATATATAGCGGCCAAGGTGGATAATGAAAGTATCAATGAATGAAGGGCTTCGAATTTTGATTGGGTGGAGGTAGGAGGCAGCCGGGAAGGGAATATTTGTGAAAGAAAAGGAATTAAATGGCCATAAAAGATTAAATTAAAAGCGAAGTCTTGTGAAGCTTACATGTGTTAATTAATAGCATTTGCCTTCCTACAATTCTGAACCCGAGATTCAAGAAATGTCAAAAGAAACCTCAAACCTCTATAGTCATTGAATTGTAATTTTTATAATAATAATAATAATAATAATAATGGAATTGTAATTTGGATGCGGACAAGGAGAGTGGTGCATCGTTCAAAAGGGAAGGGACCAGGGGGCCACGCGTCGAGAGTGCATTATTCGTCCACGGTAGCGTGTGGGTGTGGCGATCCTTGCCTGTGTTTGTTCCCAACAAACCACTTCCCATGATTTCGATTAGGGCTGCACGAAGAACAGATTGAATAGGACTTTGACTTAATCTTAAATCTGGTTTTTTGTCTGATTTAATTTTGATATAACCCAAAATTAAATAAAACTAAATTAGTTCAGTAAAACTAAAAGATTGGTTCCTATCTTTTCTAGTACCTTACTTTATTTTTTTTTTCCTTTTTAAAACATTCAACATGTGTGAAGTTTGTTATGTTAAGTTAACAATAAATTTTATTAATAAAAGAAAGACGTCAATATTAAAATTTTGCTCAACATCCACAACTTTATAAATACAAAATATAAAAAATTATTAATTATTATTATAAGTTAACTTATTATAATTATACTAAATAAATTTATAAGACCGGACCGGATCAAGTGATTCAAATACTCAATCTCTTATTTAGTGTAACTTTAAAAAAGAATCTAGTTAAAAGAGAAGTTTTTATTCAAACTAAATAAAATTAGTTGTTTCAAATTAGACGGTGTCAAACTGGATTAAAAAATTTTTTGCGCATCCCTAGCTTCGATTTCACACGACCAAACCCCATTTAAACTCCCTTAATATTGAATACACATACATCATTATTTTCCGTTCTCCACCATCATCACATCATCAATTACATATTTATATTAAAAATAATTAGGAAAAAATGACCGTTAAGGACCGTTCGGTCATTAGTTACCCTTGAAAATCTTAAATTATTAAATTTCAATAAGGAACCATATTTGTTACTTAAAATTAAAAAAAAAATGAAGAGTTTGAAATGCCCTTTAAAAGTGGCTTTAGTAAAATTTTAAGTGATTATTATATATTCACACATGCCTTTAAAAAGTTTTAAAAATAAATTTTAGTTTCATATTCAAAAATAATTTATTCTCAACTATTATTCTTTGATTTCTCAACTGATATTAGCAATATTCTCATCTCATAATAATAATTTTAAAAGTGTTATTTTTTTTACTTTTCAAGTAGTTTACCTATACATTAATAAACATAAAAATTCACAAATAACTGGGTTTACATTCAGAAGTGATTTTAAGAAATTTTCAAGTAATTATTCTACATTTACATGTGTTCTTAAAAAGTCTCAAAAATAAATTTAAGTTTCATATTAAAAAACAACATATTCCCAACTATTGTTCCTTAATTTTTCAATTGAGATTAACAATATTCACATCCTATGATGGCAATTCAACAATGTCATTTTTTTTTATTTTTCAAGTGGAGGATAATTTTTTAAACTTGTATATTTTTAATTTCAAGTGAGGATCGTGGTTTATTATTAAGTTTTTAATAATTTAAGGTTCCTAAAAATATAATTAATAACTTTAGGGGTACCGAATTGTCATTTCTTAACCTAGTCATTTTTCATCTATGAAAGAGATACGTACTCCCAATACACTCACAACTGCATACTTTGAAGCTCGAAAGTCGAAACCATAATCTCTACCTTCAAATAAATGTTTTGGTGTCACTTAGCCAATAATAGACCCTTGGCAATTACACACACACACACCACTTATTATAACTACTTTAATTTTTCATAGCAAGTCCATGAAGAGAATCGATTTTTACTGTTTTAGATTGGTTCAGATAATATACCTGTGAATATAAAGTTTGATTGCTGAGAGTGGATAAGATCTCTTGAAAGATCTGTATAAAGTCAAATTTCCCCTCAGAACTTTCTTTTGCAACTAATAAAGGGCACGAGATTGAAGTCATTTCAATACAAATTTAAATCACATGAAGTACTAACATTGGGATAAAGGAAAAGGAAATCGAAAGGAAGTGTCCATAAGAGCTTTACCCGATCAAATGCCCCTATACGCAGATTTAGGGTTTGATTGATTTTTATTTTTATTTTTATTTTTTAGAAAATTTGTTTTATCATACAATTTTTAAAATTATTTTTTAAAACAAAACAAAATGAAAATTTGTTTAGTTATATTAATTTAAAAACAATTATATAATTAAAAAATAGATCGATAATGATAATTATAAGTAGTTAATGATGATGATTTATGATAAAAATTAGTTAAAATAATTATAAATTTTAATAATTAAGTGTAACATATTTTGAAAATAAAAAAATAAAATGAAAACAATTTAAAGTTGTTTAAAGCAAAAGATAAAAACAGGTTTAGAAACAATTAGATCGAAAACACTTATCTAAATAAATTTTTTAATTTTTTAAAAACAAAAAATAATTTTTTGAAAAATTGAAAACAAATAGGCCTAAAACTTCAAAATACAAAATCATATTTTAGTTTTCATCAAACCTTTAAAAAAAAAAATAAAAGAAAAGTTAAAGGGCCTCCCTTCAACTAGTCACGTGAAAGCGTGTGGTATTGTAAACTTTTCCATAATGTAATGCTTCTCAACCATATTTAAAAACAGTATAATTTTATCATTATTATTAAAAAGATTAAGTTTGAACAAATGGAAATTAATTTTAGCAGCAAAAGTTAATCTCTCATAACGTGATAAATTAAAATTTAAATCCCTATTAAGAGAGTGTTCATAATTAATGCCCAACCATATTTCGAACATGATTACCTTTAATAGGAGAATACTTGTGAGCAATAAAAAGCTTAAGTTTGAACATTAGTTAATTTTAAAAAGAATACTTAAAAGGACCTCAAAAAATACATTAAATGATCTTATAAGAAAATTAATATTAATTAAACTTCTTAAATTGCAAATAAATTTCAAAAGACTGATGTTATTTTTACACCAAAATATCAATTAAGTTATTATTAGATTATTATTGTTAGCAATAACACAGATAAAAATTATTAAATATTAAAATATTAATGTTTTAAAAGTCATTATTAAAGCATATGTGTTTTTTAAAATTAATTATCAACTAGAGCTGCACAAAAGACTGGACAGCATTAGACGTTGGCCTAACTTGAAGTCTGATCTCTTTTATGAAAAGGATTAGATTAGGCAACCCGTAGTTTAGTCCTGTCCACTGATAACCCAAAGATTAACAGGATCGGATTTAGTCCATAAGATTGAAAGATTGATCCTGTTAGTCTTGTACTCACTTAACTATTCTCTTTTCTTTTTTCCTCCATGAGAGCCAATAATCCATCTCAATCTAATAAACTCAATTAAAATAATAAAATCACTTATAATTATAATAAATCATCAAAAATAAATTAGTTATAATTATATTAAACAAATTAATAGGATTGGATTAGACCAAATAGTCTAAATGCTCAATCTCCTCTCTAATTCAACCCAAAAAAATAGTTTGATCGTTTCATTCTTTTCAGTCCTAAATGATCAATGTTCATAAAGATCAAATAGGACAGGACTATCTCGAGTTGGACTGGATTGGATAGGATTAGAGGACTTTTGCATAGCCCCACCAACAACAATGATCCATCATCTTCTAGTGACATGATAAAATAAATTTTTTTCTAGTATTTATTTGTAATTTAGAGAACTTAATCATTATTTTTTACAATGTACTCATTTATAATTTTTGAGTTTTTCTTTTTTTTAATTTTTAAAAACTTTTTTATAACTTTTTGAATCAACTAACAGTTATTATGAATCTTTATTAATGATATGATCGATATTACATCATTTTTAAATTGTTAATAAAAAATATTACACCACAAAAACTTAAACACTCCTATACAAATAGTTGAGGCTAGAATTTTATTATTATTATTATTATTATTGTGGTTTACATCAGCTGAGTTTACCGGCGTTTTAGATGGGAGACAAATTTGTATATCAGCTTAACGTTCTCAATCACCCCAAAAGGAAAACGAAAAAATTGTCAAATATTCCCAAAGATCATCACCGTTGATCAAAAACAGGTGCACGAAAATGAATGCATACGAAGTACGGAATCGTCGCCCTTATAATAATTTTAATTTTGCGTTCATAGTGGGCGGCTGACCTAATCTCCGATTTCGCGAACCAATACGTCTCGTTTTCACCCCCACACCAATTCAAAGCCACCACGTGTACATGCTGACGACCCGACCCTTGACCCGGCCGCCACTTGCGGCTGCCTCGGACCCCACCTCTATTACTGTCTTATTCCTTCCCCCACCCCACTTGCTCTTAATTTCCATTTTCGCTGCTTAGCATTACCACCAGCATTTATGCTTCCCCGATTAGTTCATGAACTTTAAATTGTTCTACAATTGTTTTTATTTCCTATTTTAATTTAATTCAATGAACTCATGAAACTTAACACTTAAGACAAGTAAAGGGAATAATTAACACGTTTAAAACTGCCGAGAAATCATGACATCAAGATAATAAACTTCTTATTTCACCATTCCAGATATAGACATTGAACCTCTACTATTTACATTCCAACCCCAAGTGTTGAGTGCATTTTGATCTGGAGACCCAACCTTATATTAGTTTTCACTGCTTCACCAAACTATTTCACAGATAGCTTATTGGTCTATTTTTGTTTATCTTCTCAACCTATTTGGATGTTGTATATATACAGAGAGCACTAGAAAGTAGAAGCCAAGCCAAAAGACCAGAGGATGATACCAGTCCCCAGTGATGCATGACGAAGGGGCATTACGGTAAATAAACAATAATGATATGATGCTAACTACTATCTAGTATTCTATGATTAGTCCTCCCATCGGGGCTCTGTGAGGTATTCCCTTTCTTCTCTTGGCCGTTCTGTAACTCACTGAAGTCGGCGGTGGTGTTGACGGCGTGAAGCTCTGCACTTTACTGTTCTTCAGCCGGCTGTGGCTGCTGCTGCTGCTGTATGAATCCTCCGACTCCGATGCCAATGCCGCCGACCTTCTCTTCTGGAAATCCCTCGATGTCCCCACAATCTGCGATTTCGCAATCACATTCATCAGCAAGAATAAATTATAAACCAGAGGCATAGATTGAACGGTTCAAAGTCTCCCTCGAGGAAGTAAAGTCAACTCATTTGAACTAAAAAAGTTTCTCAGGTCGCTTGAAGAGAAAGAAAGCAAATTAAAGGTCTGGCTTAAAATTAAGGGAAATACATTGTGGTTAAGGAATTACCTTGCAACCCAGAGAACAGAATCGATAGGAATCGAGGAGGCTACGCTCGCAGACTTCGCAAGTGTTGGTGACGCCCTTACCGGGCCTAGGCTGAGGCCTCTCGTTCAGGAACACCACCCTCGCGCTGTTGATAATGTAGGTCTGCACGCCGGATATGTCGAGCACCTTCTGAATCTCATTCACCCTAATCACATCGTGGTAAGACGACCTCCTTATCTGTAAAAGGACCCCGTAAAAGGAGGATTCAGATTACTTTTACGCGTTATAAATGCAGCCCTTGAGGATCTTCTTTTTTTTTTTAAAAAAAAAAAAACAACTTAAAAGTGAAGGAAACATCAGGAATTGGTTAGCAGCAGTAGATGAAAACAGGGCCGAATGAATGGAAGGCTCAAATTTCAAGAATAAATGAAAGGTAAGACTGGGATAGCAAATTCCGGAAAAAGAAGGAATCTAGCAACCCCATTAAAGGAAACGCAATGATTTTTGGAATGAAAATGTGAGCCAGATGCTAACAGCAATCAAAACGAGAAATTAAAAAAGGCAACAATAAAAAAGAGGATGAATTGAGGAATGGTAAAGATAGATACCTGTATAGCACGGTGGTCTCTGTGGTGAGCGAGGCAGAGGGAGCAGAGTGCGCCGTTCATACAGTCCAAGCAATACATATTGCATTCGCTCTTGTGTGAATCAGCGTGAACCTTGCATTGAACGAAGAAGCTTTCTTTGAGCAGAGGCTTCAACCATGGCGGCCACCTGTTGTCCTCGTCATCAGGACCTCCAGCACCCTATTCAAATTTCACAAAACAAAAAAAATCAATAAACCGATATTCCCAATCAGACCAGGAAACAAACAGAAAACAGAACACCAATGCACTCTGATTTTTCAGATTCTCTCATAAAACATAGCAAAGCGCATTAGCTAGTCCCATATGAAAAAATCAAGGATAAAAAACAATGAGAGCAATGAGGACAGGTTGTTACCATGATTCTCCTGTTCTTGGGCTTGATTTCCATGACAGTGGTGTCGCGGGTCTCGATGGCCATGACTGGTAGTGGTAGGCGAGGAAGAGAGAATAGAAGAAGACTGGATGAATGCGAGAGAGTGTGCGAGAGAGAGGTTTTGAAGGAGGAAAGGGGTTAATGGAGAAGGCGGAGGCGGTAGAATGGTGATGGCGCTAAGGAAAGAGGAGAGTTAAAAAGAAAGAGAGAGAGACTGAACACAAGAGAAGAGAGATGGATCGTTCTTATCCGCACGAAGTCCACTACCAAACCTAGGCTCCGAACCCGAACCTACGTAGATACGTTTGCTGCAAGGAACTCGCCTTCCTCCTTCCCTTTTTTAATTAATCTCTCTTCTTTTTAATATTATTTATTTTCTATTTAAAAAAAATAAAAGAAAGGAAATTTTCTCTAATTATTTAATAAGTCGCTTTCACTCATCACTCACCACTGCATTTTCCCCTGATTATCACATTAGGCACGCCTATCTCATCGGATTTTATATAATTAATTTATAATTTATAATTATACCTAATTGCATATTCGCTTTGTTTTTATTATTTTGCAATAAGTTAGACGCATTCATCTTTTTTTTATTAAATATGTTTTTGATTGATTTATAGTCATATCCTAATTATTCATCCTTTTTTAATTCATGCTGCATAATTAGTCCTTTTTATAATGCAACTTGCGCCATTTTAAAAAATAATATTTGTATATTTCGATGAATGTGTGAAGTGAGATAAGAATCTTTTTGGATTGTTATACAAGAAGCACACAAAGAGAAACCCTTTGGCTGATCTTTAATTTGTCAATTTCCATAACAATTCTTTAATCGTGAGTACAAACATAAATTAGTCAGTTCAGCTTAATTATAAACTGCGTCAAGCAAATGGGCATATTAATGTATAAAAAAATTATATTGCACGCAGAAAAACACCCCAGGTAATTATTCATTTAATTAGTTACGTCCAAGCAACACGATGAAATTAATTTAATACTGTGGCAGAGGAATATATATGCATTATGCTGGGTTAAAATAATGGTGGGGTTAGGTCTTGGTTGGCCATTGCATGTGGGATAAAATAAACATACGAATTCAATTATTTCATCTGGCCTTTTCTATAAATTATTTTCAATTTTAATATATTTCAATGAAATTTAAAATAATCTTAATTATCATTTATTTTATCTCAAATTTAATAAGTTTTCACTTTTATCATCTAATAAGGATAAAAATAATTATTTTTAATATATTTTTAAACATTTAATAAACACAAAAATATAAGGATGAATATATAAAATTGTAAAGTTTCATGTAAATAAGATTAAAATTAATCTTCTATTTTTGTCATATAAATAAAATTGAATGAGTATATGAATAAGCATATTATATTATATTTTTTTTAGCAAGACAAGTACATACTATATTATATTATAATATAAGTGTAAAATTGGGAGAGAATTGCAAAGTGTTGGTCCATTTAACAACAGGAAAAAATAAAAATGTGATATTTCTAATTTAATTATTATCTCCGCGGGAGTGCGAGGGAAGAGGAAAAAAAGAAAGGATGTGATTTATGAAATACAGTGACGTTAGAACCAAATATCTTCAATTATTGATTGCAGTGTCTGTGGTTCGTTCATGAAATATCCAACACATCCATGAGCAAGTCAAGTCCTGGAAGAAACCTTGTTTCCATCAGACTGAGATATATATACATCCAATTGGGGTTAATTCTTCAGAAAAATAAAAAGCAAATAAAGAATAATTTTGAATAATAATTTGAATTCAAATATGACTGATCAAACCTGTTTGATCTCACGACTCCGAGAGAAGCTTCATTCAACTGACAATACAGAAATCTCAAATTCCAGCCATAGAACTAGAGAACTTAAGGTAAATTTTAGTGTGACACTTCACAATTTTATATAATTCTTAACTTAAAAGATGTCTTCATTTTTCAAAACAATATTTAGTTCTTTTATTTTTTAAAATATTTTTTAAAAATGTATTACCGAACAATTTTTTTATTTTTTTATTCTAAAGAATAAAAAATTATTACTCACTCAAAAACGATCCGACTCGATCCAAGTTAATCTGAACTGGTGACTTTAATAAAATTAGTGATTTGCGTGGATGAAATCCACTAAGGCATGAACAACACGTTGGATGAGGATGAGGCATGATTAATTGAGAAAATAAAGTGATCAAGTGGATGGATGACTTTGTGGGAGACCCAAAGCATGATTAGTGAAGCAGCCAATGTTGAATTGATTATATAATTACAAAGATTTTCTTCAAATAAACAGGGCATGAGACAAGACAGTAGCGGTTACTCGTTATTAAGCAGTTGGGAGCAACTGTACTGTTGCTTCCCTGAGTCTCACTTTTAACATGTGTCGCACGTGAGATTTCCTTCTTTTTGTTTTTCGTTTGTTTTTTTCCCCAACCTTTTTTTTTTTTCACTTTTCCTTTTTGGTCTGCCGACTACCCGACCTTCACGAGTTTTAATTTGAAAGAATCACATCCAACCCCACTCTTAAAAAAATTAATTATAAATAATGTTTTTATTTTAATAATAATTTAATTCGTATTAATTTTTATTTGTGATTAATTTTTTTTAAAAAAGTTGATGTGATTTTTCTTTTTAAATTTTAGTTGGGAAATTTCAGTTAAGGATTACCAAATAAATTTTACTTATGAATCTCAAAAAATTTTAAAATTTTAATTTAATTCAGGAGAGAAGAGTCAAAATAATATTAAAGATAAAAATATCAAAAGACCCTTCATTTGTTATGCAGAATCATCTGTTGTTAATTTTTTTACTTTACTTATTAATTTACTAATATAAGTTGTAAATTACATGACTTAACATGTCAATAATTATATAAAATATGATATTAGTTGCTCAATCATAAGCAGTGATATTATTTGTTAAATTACTAACTTTATTTGTTAATTTATTAACATTAATTGTAAATTATTGATAGGTCTTGACTAATAAGTGAAGTAAAAAAATTAACAAATAATAATTTTATATAATAAATAAAAGGTATTTTAATATTTATATTGCTAAAATTATTTTTAATTTTTTTTTCCTGAATTAAACTGAAATTTTAAAATTTTTTAAAACTTACTAATAATTAAGTCTCTTTCGTTGTTTTTTACTTAAATTCTCCCATTTTAGTTTGGTGTGAAAAGAATTTTGTTTTCACTTTCCTTCCTGTTCATCGATTTAATGATTGCAGTATACTATCTCATTATGAATGTTCATTACACATTCAAGATTCAACTTATGCTGACCTGAAACGTACATATAGGATCAACTTTAAAGCATTTACTATTAAAGAGTAATCATCAAATTCTTACCAATTATTATACGAAACACTATTTCCATCCAGGCAGCTGCAACCTCTCTATCTCACTCCATGTTATCTTTTATGATATCTCTACCAAACCCTCAATCATTTTGCAAAACGCAGAAGCTGTATGGTTAATTATTTCTTTGCACTTATATATCCTTCAGTAATATCTAGCTCATCATTTTACTTTAATCACATGCTAATCAGGTGAGGTGTGTGTGTTTGATGGGACTCTGCAGGCCATGTCTTTTGCATCTTTTTTTTGTAGTGGAGAGCAGGAACCATATCTGCGGCCAGATTGATCCGTGGATAAGCACTGAGACTCTCCTTTTAGTTTTTACTATATAAGAATTCTTTATGCACAAAGCTTAATTAGATTGTGATTATACGCTTATGTATGTGCGAAGAAAAGTGGTGGGGGTGGTCCCTGCCTAATTGCTAGTGGACAGTGTATTGGGTGTTGAACTCAAGATCCAAAGTGGCCTAATTAAAGGGGACTCATAAAGTAGTAAACACACAGAGACATAAATGTAGTTCAAAGGGGAATAAATAATTTAGATATTCCCTTTGGAGATACGCTTTGAAATTTACATCATACTGCCGCCTCGTTTTGCTGAAGATCTGTAAAAGTAGAGATGGCCAGATGGGGATTGGGAGTTGAGGCGTAGATTTCAGAGTTGTCTATACTACTGTCATTAATTTCATTAATATAATTTGAGAGGGTAATCGAGATTTAAATTTCTATTAAAAAATATGCTTAATGTCCAAACCAATAGAAAAATTACATTTTTAAGAGATTCAAAATTCATAAAGCACTATTGCCATTTCTTTTTTTTTTTAATGCAACAATATCGCCATTTCTTAATATATATTAGAAGTAAAAAAGTCCTATATTTAGAAATTAGAAGAAAAAATATACATATATAATGTTTGGGATGTGTCTAATCACATAGTCAAACTATTTTAGTGAAACACATTATTGTTAAGCATATTTAATTAAAGAATTTAACACTTAACTTTTTCTGGAGGTCAGTTCTCACTTCTCAGTACCAATGGCTGCTGGAGAGTATTGCCAGTTTGCCACCGTCGGAACAAGAGTGAACTATAAATATATATATATATATATATACACTAAAAAAGTATAAATTTTAAGAGATTAATATTTCACTAATTTTTTTAGAACGGTAAAGAAATTACTAATATTCTACATTATGATTTACAAATAATACAAGTTTAAAAATATTAACTATAATTTTTTAAAAACTATGAAATTAATTAATTTTACTTCATAACTAAGACAGGAGGAGTGCCCAGCTTTTGTAAGAGTAGCGAGTCAACAGACCACAACTTGGCAAGCTGACAGCGTACCTTAATTACAGTGCGGGGGCAAACACGAAACTAAGGATCAAGTCTGGCGGCTGCCATTGTTGTCTGGTAATTATGACAACATATATACCATACCAAGTTTTCTTTGACTTGCCTTCTCACTGTTTGTAATTACAGTACTCTTCATGAATAAATATAGGGGTTAGATTTAGACACTTAATTTTTTATCTTATTATTCAATCAAATTAAAATAAGTAAATTTTAATGTATTAGTAATATTAATAATAAAAATTTATTATAGAACAAATAATCTATAAATGATACAATTGTCTTGATTTAATTGCAAACACACACCTTCAATTATATAAAGTTAAATATATAAGCTTTCTTTAAAATTAATGTGTCTAATTAAGGTGGTTTCACTTATGATTATTATTACTAAAGGCCAGATTAATATACACTGAATTTAAAAGTTGCAAACTTTTAGCACAGTGTAAAGGGGGGT